ATAGGATAACAAATGTAATAGAATGGAGTTTATGTATTTATTCAAACAAAGAGATATGATATTGGATAATAACCACATTTAAAGGCTGGCTTTGATTGCATGGGAAACATTTTGAGCAGCACATTGTCTAGTACATTTTTTGTTGGATTCTGAAATTTTTAAGTTGCGATTATCTGTGGAGCTGAAATTATTTTCTCTCGTTCAACTTATTTTTTATGCCTGTCACAAGCTGTAATCCTTTATGTTCTCAAAACTATATTGTGTTCTTTATATGCTTTTTTTTGTTATCTGCAGCAATATTGATGGTATTACTGGGTTTAGTGAAGAGGATACTAAATCAGTATCCAGCTTTATAAAGTCTACTGTAGAGTTGGCGAAATCTAGTGATCATTTGGTATGATTTTAATTGTTTTCTCATGCAATGGTTTTATTGTTTCAGGATATGTATCAGATAGGCCGCCACTGCATGAACTCCAGTCCATTTATAATAGCAGTGCCTATATGTTGTCTGAAGGAGCTTCTATAAATAATGCTGTGTATAAGGGTTGGTTCGTAGTGATTTCAAGCAGGCTAACAGTATCAGGACCTATAATTGGTTCTCAGAAGTCAACTTAAAGACAATGTAAGGTGCTTAATCTAGAACAGGTATACTCAAATTGAAAAACTCAAGCAATAACCTGAATTCTGCATTTAAATCCTCAAACATATCAATAATTCAATATCAAGTATCTGAAATCTCAATATCCCAATACTTCATTAATCCAAGCCTCTTAGAAACAGAAATAACCTGGACATTTATAAGTAAACCCTAAACCTAGTAAAACACAAAGTACCAAATAAAACACTAAATACTTGAAAAATAAATAAAATATTAATTAATATAAATAATCTAAAATAGCCTAAATATATGTAAGAATTACCATCAGTCCCATAAAAAGTAAATTCCTAGATAATTTATTCCCTCAACTACCATATTTCCATCCTCAACCAGTGCTAAGGCTCGAATGTAAGATTTGTACCCAAGCCCACCCTATGGTGACCAACCTAAGACATGAGGCTTCACTTTATAGAGTTTGTTAGTGGGGCTAGACTAATCTTTGTAATGCTTTATGTTGCAGAAGGATCAAGGAAAGACAAGATGAAGTGTCAAAAACATATATAACTCTGGTCTCTATTCAGTCTTTGGCCGGTTTAGGACTTTATAGCGGTTACAATAATTATAGTAATTCTTAGATTTTTGTGTCTTTAAGTAGTATTTTGTTTTTTTATTAATTTTGGTTAATTTTAGGAGATAAGGCTTTTTTAAGTTTGGTGGCTTTGCTACATTTCTTTTGGTGAACTTCTTTGTATGGATGTACTGTTCTGCTAAGGCCTAAGAGTTCACTAGTGAAGAGATTTGATGCATGTGATTATTAATGATGAATTGTCTTTAGCTTCTTATGAAATTACCTTAGGACAGCTTTACAAAAAGTGCTTTTAACTCCTGCTCTGTCACTTGAATTTATCATTTTTCAAATATTAATATGGTAACATGGTTGGTTGCATTCTTATCAATGCCATATCAATATTAAAATTGGCAGAAAATTGAGAGAACAAAGAAAACTAAAATAAGGAGAAGAAAAACTCAATAGTAACCTCAAACCTCTAATCTCATCTCTGCAATTCAAAATTGTCAATGATCAATAGTAACAGATGTTGCAAAATAATTTATGCATATGGGCTCTACCCTAATATAAACCACATATAGTGGAACCTGAGTAAATAAGGTCAAACGGAAAACAGTCCTATTTCCGAAATTTTCACCTAAGGTAAGCATGCTTTAAATCCTTTTCTGGTGGTGTACCATCCCTTAGTTTCTGTTGTTTGCAGATATTATGTTGTTCTCATCTAATGCTGCATTTCTTTGCAGGTTGTTAATGCTGCTATAATTGTGGATCCATTAGTTAGGGGGATAATTGCAAGTTCATGTGATGAAGTCTGTTCTTGGCATATGCAATCAAACAAAGCAAAGACTGAAACCTGCTATTTCAAACAGTTGGAAGCATTCACTGCTCATGCTGATGCTAACAGGATAACAAGAGATATAAGTTTTCTTTCAAATGGATCGTCCAACAATCTCCAAAAATGTTGCACTGCTGTTTCTTGTTTAAACCCTTGGCTGTGGGCTCAGAAATTAATGCATAGAAGTCCTTATTTTTGACACCCATTGCGACATGCTGCCATTGTTGCTATTGAAGCTTCTGCTGCCAGGGACAGACATTTGTTCCCTGGTACTGGGCACAATGAACACTTGTATGAAATTGATTGCACTCATTCTTCTTCCTCAGGTTCTCCAGCAAAGAGACAAAGGATCAACCTTGCAAATGTGAGTTGACATTCTACTGCTTGTATTGAATTTTCACCCTGGTAGTCCATATAAACAGAGCTGAATGTGGAGGCATATCCTCCAATGTTGTTTTAGAATACTGCTAGAATCGTCTGCTTGCCTGTATGCAGAAAAAGTTTAACGTGTTATGATTTTTTAGGTTCGTTTTAGATTTAAAAGAATATTGATTGATGCAGTTTGTTGCAATATGTTTGTCATTTGGGAAGAAAGATGCAACTGCTATAGCTGTATGTGTGGGAATACATTTATTTACAGCTGGTTGTAATCTTGTAATCTATATATTTATATTTGTATCTTCAGAATTAAGTATTTGTATCCCTAGAATTAAAGACAAAAAATTAGGATAGGCAATCCCTTGATTATAGGATCAGTTTTAGGAAGATTTAGTTTCCTAGTTTACCCACTAGTTAGTTATATATAAACCTAAGGTGCTTGTATAATTCTTTATGAGCAGTTTTTCAATATACATTCAGTTGTACTCATAGTTTTTCACACAGTTTTATTTTTTAGTTTTTTCATAATATGTTTAGTTGCAGTTTACTTTAGGCTTTGACCAAAATTATCCCAATTGGGTTTTTCTAAACTAATAACAAATTATTGATCATTAGAAGCAAAATTTGTCATACATGTGTGAAGCAGGTTAAGTTTGTCCATTTTTTGAAAGGTTTTTTTGTAATTCGTTTTTCACAAAAATACTATGTGAAATATAAATCTTTATAGAGCAAGACAAATCTAAAATCAACCTTTAAGGACTAAAAAAATAGATCCAACATGATATACCCGCTAATGTGCATGTAAGGCATAATATGAGATCATATCAAAAGTGTGGCAGTTTTAGGAGCAACTGAAGCAACAATCTGTATGTTGAACAATTATGTGAAGTTTCATAGAGATTTGTTTGGTTGGAGTTACGTCAGTCATGTCTAATGCTACTATTTTAGGTCAAGAATGGTGGAGAACATGATGCTCATACTGAAGGTTCAAACTCCATAGCCGGGCCTTATTTGTTTACTGGGTATGACATCTATCTTAGCTGGAAGCCTTGTACAATGTAAGTTCGTTAAACAAAACTTATCTCTCTTCCTGTTTACATTTTATTTTAATTTTATTTTAAATTTTAGATTGAATAAATTGAATATAGCTGATTTATTCTAATTTGAGATTAAGATTTAAGAATATTTGATTTCAAATGTCAAGTCTTGTCAATTTCTACTGATGGATGAGATGTTCTTGTGGTTGCTTGCTTTTTCTGGTTAAAACTTAAAAGTGCAATGGTTTTGATCAAGGGTTTGCTTTGCCTTATATTATAGGCTGTTTTCTGATCAGGGGCATGCTTGTTCCTGAATTACATACCATATTTTGTGTCTTCTGAATTTTAGCTATCTAGATATTTTTCATAAATATGTACCAAATACTCAGTCTTTGGAAGTTGAAACAGTCATTAACTTTGTGCATCATGCATGGTGAAGATGCTACACAACAGAAAAAAGAATTCTTCCACTCTAGCCTCATCTGTTAAACTGCCTAGTAAAACCTTCTGATTATTTCTCCTGCTAAAATGGTCATCTCCTTCATGGGTGCATTGCTAGCTAGAGTCATACAACTAGACTTTTAATTTGAGCTATAAATTTGCAATTACAAATGGTTATTTATTTGTGCAAGAGAAAAGCTTTTTGCCTACCATTTCTACTGGCTTCTTCCTTTTCGAGTGATCCCATTATCTGATATCTGAACATTTGGTTTTGTATTTAAGGTGTGCCATGGCTCTCGTCCATCAAAGAATTAGGCGCATATTTTATGCTTTCCCGAATACTGAAGCAGGCGCATTGGGAAGTGTTTTACAGGGTGAGAAAAGCTTAAATCATCACTATGCGGTTTTCAGGGTCGTTTTGCCTGAAGAAGAAGAATTAAAGTAACTGATGTGAAATGAGTGATGTGCAGCTGTGTAGTCGAGGGATTCAGATGGTTAGGGTGCAATGCAAAATTAAAACCCACTTCACTTGCATGAACTTGAATTGCCTCTTGAAAAATTGGCTCTTCTGATCTTTGCAGCTAATGTGTTCAATAGTATTTTTTTATTATTATTTTACAACTTTCCAGAAATTCATCTTTTATAACAATCACCTCCAAAGGTGAGTTGTTTTGGAGACGAAAAAAAAAAAAAAAAAAAAAGAAGGAAGCGGGCCACATTGAGTGTGCCTCAACGCAAGATTTAATGTCTTGACCCACTAGACTTGATCAAGTTCAATAGACCTATTCCCAATTTTTTTAAAAATAGCCATTTTGTTTATTTATTCAATTATTTATTATCTTTCATTGTGTCTTCTAATTTTAATTAAAAAAAGTTTGATTTAATAAATAAAATGAAAATTAACAAAAATAAATAAATAACAGTCATAACAAAAATTATTATGGAAAATTCCTAAAAAAGATAAAATTTAAGAAATTTTTAGTGACATTAAAATAAAAATTCGAGTGAGGAACAATAGTGGATTCAACCAAATTTTTGGGAGAATTATTCCAACACGGATGAGATTTAAAAAAAAAAAAAGGTAATAAAGAGAGATATAGAAGATATAGAAAAGGAAAACATTAAATAAAGCGAAGTGTGAAAAAATCAATAAAATAAAAGCACGATATGTGAAAGGCAATGTTAAATAAAGCGAAGTATGAAACAAATAAAATTTCATGAGAAAATAGAAAAATTTTCATTTGTATCCCTTGCCTTCCCTCCCGTTGTTTTTACCTGGCTTCCATCATCACATCTTGGAAGCAGAAGAAACCTAAACTTGGCGGAAATGGAAGCAAAGGAGGAGAAGGAGAAGGAAAGGAACAGTGGAAAGCGCAAAAGAAGGGGCTTTTCTCCTTCTCATTCCGATGGTAATACCGTAATCTTCCCTCTGTTACTGGCCGCTGCTCTCTCCCGCTCGAATACTCATACAACACTAGTCAAGAAATGCTTAACCAAATTCCTTTCCCATGGACAACCAATTCCCACTCCCTTTCTTTCCCTTTGCCCACTCCTTCTCAACTCCAAATCCCCCCAAATCGCCATCCTCACCGCCCGCATTCTTGGGGCGGCTTCTCTCATGTCCTTTCAGATGAATCAACAGGTCGTTTCTGACTCTCCAACGCTTAAGGCTTTGATTTCTTTGATGCCCCCTTCTCATAAGAATATGATCGTCTCCATGGCTGCCTGCGATGCCCTTTTGGATTTGTGCTCCACTTGTGTTGCCAGACACCGATTGCTCCATTTCTCTGCTTTGGAAACTCTCATGTCGTTATTTTCTTTTCTTTTCTTTATAATTTTTCATTCCCATCAAGTAGTGATCTCATTTCAATTATTTTCTTTGCTTATATTACTCGTACATATTATTTAGAGTGACTGCAACCTTACCAAGAAGAGTAGACAACTATAAAAATAAGCGGTTGTTGTGGGTGCCATAAAAATCTTTGAACCTCTAACATTACACATATACGTTGATTAAAAGAACTGAATGCTGTTGACAATTGCCATTAAGGGTAAATGTTTAGTTTTGTTTAGGGTCTTTATCTCGTCATTGTTGATCATAAATATGCATGGTATGGTCGATAGGCAACCAAACTAAGAAATGTTAACCACAATTATGTCTTTTCTCGCTTTCCATTGCCATTGAGCTTTAAGTCATATCATCAATTGCATTTGCCTAGTTTATTCACATAATAATTGGTAAACATATTTATTCCTTTAAAACTTCATTCTGCTGCTGAATAATTACAATCAACCATTTAAATTGATAAACATGGATAATTCCCATTGTTTTGAGAATTATTCACTTTACATTTTTTTTGTAAAAGGGGCAAAAAGCATATAGTGGATACATGACATATATGTGCTGACTCATACAGCCACAAATATTATGTTGGTTATCTTACACTTAACTTGTAATAAAAACATATAATAATGAGAAAAAAAAAAAAAAAGAGAATAACTAAGTGAAGCGTTCTTTTTGTTTCCTATGAAAATATAAGCTTTGAAATGATTAAAACATAAAGTAAATAAATTTTGGACAGACTGTTTGGATTAGTTTCTTTTGTTTCTAGTAGAACGTAAAATTTTCCACGCAAAAGTTTTCAGGATTTTATCAATATGTTTGAAGAATACTCCACTGCTAATTTGTTGCTTCATTTTTCCCTCAAAAGATGTAGTTATAGTCTCTCTCTCTATATACATATATATATATTTATGTATATTCATATTTTTGCTTATATTGTTCTTAGGATTGTTAAAAATTATAACTTGAGGTTTTCTTTCATGTAAGTTGACTTAATTTCTATCAGGTTTGCATTCCTTCAGGTTCGAAGATCATCAATATTGATTTCTTTAGGCACTGGAGATGATGTGAATATTGCTTCTCTCAGGATAGTCTTCCAAAGAGGTGAACTTCCAGTATTACTTCTTAGTGCAGCCATCATTCTCATCAATACATGCAATATTGAGCAGTTAAGAAAGATCCCAAGCAAGCTTTCTGAATGTTTTTCTGTCTTTTTGAAAGAAGTGTGGAAAGAAGCTCACAAACAAATGTTAAAGGGCAATATTTTAGGACCCGGTCAAGGGATGAGCTTATATTTCAGCAGTGTTACCATCAATAATCTGGCAGAAAGCATTTTTAGGCTTTCCATTAATGTTGATCAATTTCCAGCTCTTATGCCCAGTGAGATGGTTAAAAGAAGAATATTTTGTTTTAGTGAGGATGATTTCAAACGTTTCATATTAAGCCAGTGGGAGGTCTTACCTTGTGTTGTAAGAAGGTTCTCAACTGCTTCACTGGAGGCAGAAGAAATATTTGCATCACTTATGCAAACTTTATGTTCTAAAGAGTTTTTTCCTTCTGCTCTCTCTTCTATCCTCCAAGGTCTAACTTCTTGCCTGCCTATTGATTCAGATGAATTAGACATCCTTAGTTTCCTGACGGAGGTTAGAAATAAATTGGGTTGTCCTCTTATCAATGAACAGGACATACGGGTTCTAAGAACAGATAACCAATTAAAACAAGAGGTGCGGTTTTTTGAAGAAAATGTGGACTCTTGCTTTGTCAAGGCTCCACAAATTTTATGTGCAGATGATATTTTAAAATTTGAAGAAGCATATAACAAGGGTTATACAATTGCTTTACGTGGAATGGAATTCCGCTTTGAAAATTTTGCCCTTATTGCAGATGGATTAGCTTCAGTCTTTGGTCAACCATCAGCAGGTGCCAATTTGTACTTGACTCCACCTAATTCTCAAGGGTTGGCTCGTCATTATGATGACCATTGCGTATTTGTCTGCCAAATTTTTGGATCTAAGCAATGGAAAATATTTTCTCAGCCGAATGTGCAGTTACCTCGATTATATGACCCTTGCAACATTCAAAATGGTGAAGGCATTGATAATTCAAGAGCTGACTGTTATCATTTTTTGCTTAATGAAGGTGATGTCTTATATATTCCCAGGGGTTTTCCTCATGAAGCATGTACACATTATAGTAGTCCAGATGGATCTGCTGGGCTTTCTTTGCACTTAACTCTTGGAATTGAGGTTGAACCTCCATTTGAGTAAGTAAACTTTTGATAAGTGTTTCTTAAATTCTAATGATTCAAGGTATAGGGTTACTTCGATGAACCATCTTTCCTTGCATCCTGAATGATAATGCCTCTTCACTGAATATTTTTATTGTTTAATTTACATTAATCATTTTAGTTTGCTGAGATTAGCTCATGATATTGGTGTTGCATGCTATCTGAAACTCACTAAACTACTTTCATTGGGATTACTACTTATGGCTAGAAAAATATTACTCACTTTTTATTGGCATCATTTATCGTATGACACACAGCATGTAGCTCGTCTTGCATGCTGCTCATGTAAAATGATATGTTAGCTATATATGACCTCAAAACTAGATCTATCTATTTCCTGGCTTATGATAGTTAACAAAAGGAAATGGAAATAAATTTATAATGATGTTTGCTGCCAAAATGTACCATATCATCACATACACAATAAATGCAAAAGCCATTATTGTTGTTTTTAAGATAATTCATCCTAAGAGCTTTAATTTCTTGTACGATTTTGTGTTAGATTTTCATAAAGGTTCTATATGTATTCATCTTGTATTAATGAGCTCTCTTTCTTTTTTTCTTTCCTTTCTATTTATTTAAAAATTTTTTTGTTTTCTATTTTTTTCCATTGTGGTTTCTTAAAGATTAGCATATCTCCATGAGAACATAGTGCCGTACAAAAGAGGGAATAATTTGTAATTTTAGATGAAGTTTTGCTGTTAATAATTTTACATGATAAACACATAGGTTTTAGAGCTTTGCTCATTTTTGAAAAATTTCTTTGCATTTTGTCTCCTTAAGATATCACAAGCTATTACCAAACTCTGTGAATTGAAGCTGAGATTGTCATGTACTACATGATTGTCCAAAGCATAATCATGTGCATCGAAGATGATTTTTGGCCCTCAATGTTTTCTGAACCTGCACAATACTTGTTTATATCATTTTCCAAGTGACAGACTATATATCATATGTACCACACACCAGTCCAAAATCCTTTTTTCCTTTTCTTCCTCTCACTGTAGATGTAGTTGATGATAGATTGAAATATCTGTCTGGAAAACTTGTATTTGAAGTGATTGATAGAAAAAATTACCCTTGATTCTTAGTTTCTTGGTGATAAGCTCCCTTTATTAGATGGTTGACATGTGAGGTAGTCCCCATTTTATATCTTTAGTGTTTCTGTTGTTAGTGCACATGGCAAGGATCTGAATTTTTAGTTAATGAGCAACTGACTGCGACATGTGTCTCGTTTGATAGGTATCCTCTGTTTGGACCAACATCAAATTGAAAATTACTTATGATTGGTCAAAGTGTGTGTACTGTAGTTTGTTAATATGGTGAACTTGAGTTTCTATAGCACTTAAGTCACCTTTTGACTACAAAGATAATGGATAATAACTTGGATATAGAATAGATATTTTGAGAGAATAACTTGGATACTTGCTATTTTCTGAATCTAGGACTACAGTATGATGAAACCATTGGGTGATTCTCTGTGTTATTCCACCCTTTTTTTTTGTTATTTTTACATCTTCTTAGCTATTGATAACAACCTTAAAATTTTGTTGCTTGAGTCACCCTTTTTTTGGTTATTTTCAGGTTAAGGTTTGAGTTTGATTCTAAAGCTGGTACCTATATTACTTCTAACTAGATTAGCAATTCAAGTTTTTATTAGGTATTGACAATTGGGCTATTGGTAAGATTTTTGGGTTAGTTTTTAATTGGGTTAAGGTAGTATAGTTTGTCGTCAGGTTCCAATCCGGGTATCTCAAATTAGTGGGTACCTTGCATATCTTTATAACACTATTTTTGGTAGGAAGGAAGGAAAATGGAGAAAAGGAAAAAGGTGAGGAAAGAAAAAAGGAAGCAGAGAAAGGAAAGCTATTTTCCCTTCATTGTGTTTGGTATGAAAGGTGGAAAATAGAGGGAAAGAAAGGGGTTATGGTTAAAGTTGTAAGTACAATTTCTAATTTAAATGGAATGAGTGTTTTCCTTCCACATTTGGAAGGATTGGATTCGGAGAGAAGGGAAATGTGCAAATCCACTCATTTTCCTTCTTTCTTCCCATTTCCTTCATAGCAGACGAAAGAAAGATGGAAAGCAAGTAATTTTTTTCCACCATCTTTACTTCCTCTTTAACTCCTACCAAACACATTGTAAGATTGGTATTCTTACTACAAGAATAGTTTAGCATTAATATCGTTTATATTTCTCTTATACATCAATTGCACTTTTGACTGCATTATGTTTGTTTTCCAGTTTTCATGTTTCTAAATTTAGCTATTCACTTTCATGGTAAAAGAAAGTGTTTGTTGATGTTTATGGTTTCTGACATGAAATGAATTAGGTCCTGTTTTCCTTCCCTTTCATGTGAAATTTCAATATTGGTTAAAAATTATTTTGATTGATTGCAGTGATCATTTAAAAGTTGATGGCTTATCATTGCACATGGGGTGACCTATGTTGATGACAAAATTATTTAGTTTAGACATGTATGTCTGTGGGACATTAGGACAACATATTTGGTCAATGTCTGTGGGCATCTCTCATATATTTAATTGTCATGATCAAGTTTATGTTGATGATTTTGAGTGGATAGGATTTATAACGTTTGAATTTTTTGCTATAATTCTATTATCAGAAGGATCTTACTTGGTTGCTATTTGTATTTGATTAGTCTTTGGTACTTTCTTTTTCTTTGGGATAGGGGGACTTTGGACCCGTCATCAACCTATGCTATGCATTGGCCACATGTATATTGATATTTGATTACATTAAATGAGGGTTCAGTATTTGTGGCTCTGCAGTTCTAGAAATTGTTTTCTTTTTCAACGAAGAAATTATAATACAATTGTGTTAAAAATAAGATACATTATTTCTCATACATTCTTTCCGTCATTATAAACACAGGTGGGAGGGGTTTATGCAAGTAGCCCTGTTTTATTGGAACCACACTCAACATCAGCATCATCTTTCTTTGAAGTCTTTATCAGGAATTCTGAATGCCATGTCCGTCAAGCTGCTGCATATAGTAATTGGGTTAATCAGTGATTCCGACCCTACATTTCGGAAGGCATGCTTGGTTGCTGCAGCTTCTTTGGAATCAGACGCTAATAACTGGCTTGATCTATGCCAAAAGACAATTTTCAGCAATTTGATTGAAAAAATTAACAGAGAGTCAAGGTTTTTGGAAGCATTGAAGAGTGTGGAAGTAGCAATTCAGAGAAATGAAGACCCCTTTCAGCGGATAAGGTGGCTGCGATCCCTCAATCAAGAGGGGGAAAGTGTTGAAGGATGTGAATGGGTTGTAGCGCCTAGTGGGGTTCAAGATATATTCCGTTTATATGTTGAATACAAAGAGATGGCAGAAACTGTGTTCATGGAGGTCAAATCTAAATTCTGTAGTCAGGTATCATATGACCATGTTACTACAGTCTATAGGATATTGCATGAAAAGTACAAGAAGGCTAGAAAGCAGTATATGAACGGAATGCATTCACTGCATTATGTTTGACTGCAATGTAATGCATATATATATATATATATTGATATATATTGTATGGCCTTTTTCACCAATCTTATATGATATGAGACTACAAAGTGAAAGGCATTTTTCATACAATCTTATAAAAATCTCACTTCATTCATTTCAAGATACCAACATATGGCGTTTTGTCTCCTTTTTTTCTACGATATGTTGTCGAGTTGTTGTGTAGAGAGCTTTAAGCTTTATTGGTTTTACAATTGTTTTTGGAGTTGAAGACAATAGTTTCCTTGGCAAAAATGTAATGTAATAGCCATTTTTCGGTTATTTATTTTTTCTTTTCAAAAGGAAGAAAATGTAAAACAAAAATAGTTATATACATTTTCTTTCTTCTGAAATTGTTATGCTCCAATTTGTATCGTTTTTGCAATATTAACCTAATGCAAATTTGCTTTTGATTTTTCTTTCATTGTAAATCTTAAGAAGCAAAAAGCAAGTGAAAAAAAATTGCTACTAATAATAATATGCAGTTTTAGTGAATGGAATTTGAAAAACTAAATCGAATTATGGGTTGAAGGAAGCTCAACCAATTATGGGATGGAGTAAATCCCAAACGACTCTATTTTCAGTTTTTGGCACATAAAAGACCCAATTGAATTTTTCTTCTTTTTTTTTTTTTTTTGGTAAAGCAGAAACCCCATTGAATCTTTTTCACAATGAAGGATAGTTTTATCTCATCCAATAAATTTTATTAGGTTTATCTTAAGATTTTACAAAAAGGTACTGCACGAGAATTTAAGACTGAGTAAACAAAAACCATTGGTCTAACTTTTGGAGATAGCTATCAAAGTCCAATACTTGAAACTCAAATCTAAACCAAAAAGAGAGAGAGAGACTGAGAGAGGAGAGAGAGAGAGAAACCTCTGGTGGTGGAAGGAAGCAAAAACTATTTTTAACCTAATTGTGCATACACTCATGTATTGATTTATCGTAAGATACATATATGTAAGCATCATTGTTTTGCTTAAAATGAGAAATGAAGGAAGAAATTCATGGCTTAGGATGTTTGGGGGTCGGGGTTGGATGAGTTGTGACTCCATGGTAATCTATATGGTAATTAACAACCTCATTATCATCATCATCATCCATAGTATTGTCATTGCCCCTTGAATATCCGAGCCCCATGGAACCCTTCCCTGATGATTGCCAACCCTCATCAACCACCTGCATTCATTAATTTAGAACTTCGAGTTTATAATTATTAGTAAATTGATTTAAGATTTATGCATGTAATACTTTTTTTTCCTTTAATTTGTTTGAGGAGTGGGCATCCTGAAAGCTAATTTTCAGAAGAACCAAACGGATATGATGTTTGTTACCTTTGCTTTTGCTTTAGGATATCTGTTTTTGTGGTGAGGCAATGACATCTTCAGTGATCTCCTTCCTGCAAGAGAGATCGAAGAAGAAGAAGAAGAAGAAATGAGATAGAAAGCAGCTGTGAGGAGAAATAACAGGATGATATGCCAAGACTTCATTGTTTATTGCAGAAATGACAACTTTTCTCTATCAACAAATGGAAACATTATATTTATTTATACCGGAGATCTTAAATGCAATTGATTTTGATGTTGAGAGGGGGAGGGATGTGATTCTCAATTATTGTTTGAGGGGCTGGGTAAACATGTCTGAGCCCATGCCCATCATTCTGTTGCTTGTAAGACTTGGAGAACTCTGAGTCGGAGACCGACCAAAACAACGTCCTCCAAGACCATCTGTCTCCTTACTGTTCTATGATTATTGCTGCTCTTGACCTACCTGATTTTATATATATATATATGTAAATACATACACACATACATACATAATTCATACTCATTTGCATGTAAATTAATAAGAGTCGAAATACATAATTCAGGAACTTTAAGAGGGAAATTAAGGAGATGTCAGCAGATTAGGTTACTCCTAGAAAATAATCCAAGCAATGGAAAAAGCCCTTTGTTGAATATATATTGTTGTGTTCGAGTGTAAGGGTAAGGGTAAGGGTAAGGGCAGTGGATTCACATGGTTGTTCCATGTGAAACAAAACAACTCACCGTTGAATTATTAATCCATGTTTTGTGAAATGTCATCTTCAGTTTCTTCATTCTCTCTATTTAACTTTTCTTTTCACTGTTAAGAAGCTTGAGGTGAAGTAAGATGAATGTTATAGTATAGGAGGTACATTGAACCTTGAATAATATAATATAAATAAAAAAAACTTTTTACCTAGCTAATCTCTTGCAATTTATAAAATTCTTGGGGTAGCAACTTTGTCCTACTCACTCTTCCCTCATAGTTATCAACAAAGTCTGCTCAGCTTTCTTCTGGAATGGGAAATGAGGTACTGCTAAAAGAACTAGACTCAAGAGGCTTGGAGATTAAAGATATCTGAGCCTGCCTTCTGAAACATATATGGTCCTCTTTTAGCACAAGTAGGAAGTATTCTGGGTTTAGATGATGATGATATGGATAAATTTCAAGAATGCAATTAACAGCAATCTAAATGATTAAGTAACCTATTGTACCCTTTTTTGGTGCTAAGGGGTCATAGCCCAGATATTACATTGGAATATTCCTAGCCAACACCTACAAGGTCAGCTAAAAAGACAAAGTTCAAATACTTGGGAGGGTACACCAGATTAATAAGACCCAATGGTTGTGTCAGACTCCATTTTGCTATTCAGTCCGCGGCGTTGTTCCTTTCTCTGTGAACATGCGAGATTTTCCACTGCCATTCTTTTTGAAGATCTTTGATAGCCCACACGAGGTTAAAATGAGGGTGATTTTCATGGACTCCATTCTAGATCATGTTAACAGTATTTACGGAGTCCGACTCAATTTCCACGAATTTAAATCCTTTAGTCCAAGCACAAGTAAGACCTTGGTATAAAGCCCAGATTTCTGCAAGATCAATGCCAATGTGAAATGCAAAACCTGCCTTCCATTTGCCAAAAGAATCCCTTATCAAGCCTCCTGCTCCAGCTGTGTTGTTTTGTTGATTCCAACTTCCATCAATGTTGAGCTTAACCCAACCCTCACTTGGTCTCTCCCATGCCATCAAAACTTCGGATCTGGGAATTTGGCTTTGATCCTTTTTTATGTAGTTTGCCCATTCATTCAAAGCTCTAAAGATAGTTGCCCTTTTCTAGTCATTTGTGGAGACTCTCCCTTCGAATACAATAGTGTTTCTCATTTTCCAAAGAAATCAACAAGTGTAAGAGAATACAGCAGGCCACTGCCAATCCCCTGTATACTTTTTCTTCCAGTCCAAAGTATTAAGATTAACTCAATCAAAAAGGTTACAGCTCCAGAAAGAATTTTGTTGTTGAACATTACAAAGACTTTTCCAAATATGTTTAGCCTCAACACAATCTCTCAACACGTGCAAACTGGACTCCAAGGGTCGTTGCAAATTTTACAACTACTATCCTCCGTCAAATACCTTTTCTTTCTATTTTCATTGGATAGTATTCTATCATTAGAAACAAGCCAGAGAAATGTTTGAATTTTAGGCACCACTTGTATCTTCCAATTGTTTTTAAACAGGAGATTCCTATCACTAATATTCTCAAATAGGCTTAAGTAGGCAGATCTAGTTGAGAAATTTCCATTAGGAGTGAGACTCCAAATTATTTTATCGAACTGGCTATCATTGAAGCCCACAGGAATAGCAGATATTTGATCAATGATTTAAGGAGGCAGGATCATACCAAGTTTATGAAGGTTCCATTCACCATTAACAATAAAATCACTAACTAACCTGTTATTTGGGTGTGAGGAAAGAGTTGCTAGAAAACGATTCTTCTAAGGTTGCTGTTCCTCAATCCACTTGTCTTCCCAAAAAACAATCATGCTCCCTTCGCCAACTCTGCATGTCAGTCCATTCTCAAGAACAGGTTTACCATGCAAAAGACTTCCCCAAGTATAAAAAACATTCCCTTTTTTTTTTTTAAATTTTGCAAGGAAGTGCCATACGGATATTTTCCTTTAATTAGCTATACCCACATAGCATTTTCTTCAGTGGTTAGTCGCCATCCCAATTTAGCTAAAAGGGCATGGTTCATCTCTTTAGCTTTCTTGGGACCAGTCCTCTGTTCACCTTAGGCTTGCATACTACATCCCAACTCATCAGGTGGATTTTCTTTTTCTCCGGTGACCTACCCCAAAGGAAATATCTATTAATTTTGTCGATATACTTGCAAATAGAGTTAGGGACTTTGGTCGTTTGCATGGTATATATAGGAATTGGAGCTCAAGCAGCTTGGATAAGGACTGCTGTACCTGTTAAGGAAAGTTTATTAATTTTCCAACTAGCCAATCTGACTTGAACCTTTTCAACAAGGCTTCAATATGTTCGTTTTGAGACCCTTTCATGTATAATAGGGACTCCCAAATACTTTCCCAGATTACTGGTTCTTGGAATGTCAGAGATACCACTAAGTAGCCTTGCTGTTCTCTCCTGAGTATTCTTGGTGATGAAAATTTTTGACTTACTGAAACTGTCTGTCCTGACCATTTCCTGAAGGTTTCAAGAGCTTCTTTAACAGTTTCCACCTGATCTTCTTTAGCTATAGAAAATAGCACCAAATCATCAGCAAAACATAAGTGGGAAATGCTTGGGCCTTTTACATGAAGCTTTCACAGGTGTCGATTTTTTCTTTTCTACTCTCTCCAGGATGATGTGGGATAATCTTTCCATTCTAAGGACAAATAAATATGGAGATAGTGGATCTCCTTGCCTTAATCCCCTGGTAGGATGAAATTCTTTAGTTTTTTCACCATTCCAAAGCAATCGAAAAGTTGTTGATGTGATACAGGACATGATAAGGGAAATAAAAGAACTACTCAGACCAATCTCTATAAGAATCTCATGAATAAATTGCCAATTCATCTTGTCATACGCCTTTTCAAGATCGATCTTCCATGCAACTGCACCAGTTTTCCCCTTTTTCTTTTTTAAAGAATGCATCATTTCTTGCACAATAACCACATTATCAACAATATGTCGTCCAGGAACAAAGCTGCTTTGGGTGGGACCAGTAAGAGTAGTAGAACAATCCGAATTCTTTCCCCTAAAATCTTAGTGACGATTTTATATACCACATTACGGAGACTGATAGGGCGAAGCTGATTCATATTTTCAGGACGGTTAGTTTTAGGGATGAGGGTAATGAGGGTTTTATTGAGACCCTTAGGAATTGAGCCAGATGAAAAAAATTCATGAATCACCTTACACAACTCTTCTCCTACAACGTCCCAATTCTTTTGGAAAAAACAAGCTTGGAAACCATTAGGTCCAGGAGCCTTATGTGGTCCAATGCTAAACAATGCATTTTTTATGTCATCATCCTTGACTGGTCTATGTAAATTTTCTAACTCTGCTCTCGTGAGTTTCGAATAGGCAATAGTGATGTCAGGTCTTTCAATATCAAACAAAGTTTGATTTTATAGTACCTTGTAGTGATTAAGAGCAAGTTGTTTAAGGCTATCAGCTTCAGTGATCCATTGCCCTTCATGATTTTTTAAGGCCTGTTTTTGCTTCTTCTAACAAGGGCTAATGTGTGGAAATAGCTAGTATTTCTGTCTCCAGATTGTATCCACTGCTCCCTTGATTTTTGAAACCATAACAATTCTTCTTGTTTCAAAATCTGTGTATACTCAGCTTGGAGTTTTCTCTCAATATTCCAAAGAAAATGATTGGGACTTTGGCATAAAGCTTTTTATACCCCTCTAATTCTAGCAAGGATTCTTTGTTTAGAATTAAAAACATTCCCAAATGTAGATTTATTCCACTCAACTAAAGTAGTAACTAGGTTATCCAATTTGACAGGACAGTCATCAGAATTGTGATCCCAAAATTCCTACACAATTCTTTTAGACCCATCATGAAGAGTCCAAGCTTCTTCAAATCTAAAAGGTCTTAGATTAGGAGAAGGATTAAGAATACCTTCCGTGTTTAGGAGAATCGGGCAATGATCAGATTTGACCCTTGAGAGATGTAGGACAACTGCTTCAGGAAATATAAGTCTTTCCAGGATGCTGTACATAAAACTCTATCAGTTCACTCCCAAACTGTAGATAGTCCTCTCGGAGACTTGCACCATGTATATTTTGGACCAACAAACCCTAAGTCAACGAGCTCACAACTGTGTATCATCTCTTGGAATCTCTTACATCGTCTTACATCCATGTTAGAAATGTTGGATTTATCAGAAGAGGCCGCAATCTCGTTGAAGTCACCTCCAATTATCCAGGGCATATTAGTTTTATTTTTTGTTTCCTTCATAATGTTCCACAACTCATCTCTGAGTACTGGGATTGGGCTACGATAGACTGTAGTAAGCTTCCATTGTGAATTATTTTTTGTAACTGTTGCCGTGACAGATTGAAAAGTTATTTCTTCCAAGTAAATATTAACCTGAGCATCATTCCATAACAACGAAATTCCACCAGCAAACCTAATGCCATTCCCAATTTTCCACGGAGGAAATCCAATTCTCTGAATAATGTTCTCTGCCCTGACATTGTTGACCTTGATCTCCAATAAACCAATAATTGTAGGCTTGTGTTGACTAACAAGATCTCTGATCGTTCTTACAAAATCCTCACTTCCTGCACTAACATTCCAAAATAAGACTTTCATAAAAAAAAAAAAAGGATTTAAATGTGATAAGTAACTCACAGAGTCAGTTAACTCCTTCCATTGGCGTATCATTGCCAGATTCAATAGCCTCAGAAGAAGAAATACTTCTGCTTCCAGAACTATCAGTGGAAACGGTGGTATCAAGTTCCTCTGGTCCTCTATTTCTGGCATCAATATTAGCTCTGGTTGAACTAGTGATGGTCCCATCAATGTTGATAGTGGGGTGATGGTTAGATTCTTTATCAACCGTTTCCTCTTTAAGAGTGGAGACTTGGTTAATTTCTTCAACAACCAAACCCTTTTTAGGAGGATGGTTCAAAAAAGGTTGGGTGGTGCTAATATAGGGCGGAGAAATGGGAGTGGGTGCTGTAACTAGTGTTTTTTTGTATAAATGTTCTGTTCGAAAGATGATGTTTGGAGAGGATTGTTGGGAGTGGAAGTGGTCAAAGGGGCATGTAGGACAACTGGCTTGCGAATGGTTCTTTTTTTGGAAAGGACTTTGACAGTAGATTTTTGAACACTGCTTAAAGCTCTAGTGGTAAAATGGGTGGGGATATGTTGTGTGCTTTGACTGAGATTTGAGTCAAAAAGAGACCCAGCACCGTCATTTCTGCTAACATTGGTAATATTCGCAAGACGGATGGAAGTTTGTTTCCCTTTGTTCGATGCTTTTTGGTGGCCCGCTTTGGTTTGAGATCCATTTGTAGGAAGTCACTTCCTCTTATATCCACATTTTCTTTCATAGACAATGATAATTCTTCCCCAGTTTCTTCCAAGATTTGAAACCTGGATCCAGATCCCTTCTTAGGCCCCTGATTACTAATCTGGGCCTTATTGCCATTAGAGTTCCTTGTTCCTCTTTGTGTAAGCATCCGGGGCCCAAATTGAGAGCCCTCATCTGCTTTCTTCTCTGCCTGTTCCGATAACTTCTCTAGTGGAGTAACCGTTGGCACGGGTTCAATGGTAGGTGAAGACTTCATCTCTGTTGGCTTGTAAGTTGGACAATTCTCAGACTTTTCTTGGTGGCCGTATGTATCACATTTGAAGCAAATATTTTCCAGGCTTTCATATTCCACTCTTTGCCATCTTGGTCCAATCCCAAAGCCACCAAGTAATGGCTGTTTTAGATCAAGTTGAACACAAAC